TCATGATAATATGTTACCATTTATGTTATTTTATTATCGTTTCTTGTTTTTTATTTTTATTATATATTCGGATCATCATAATGAATCCGAAAGTCTTGATATGATAATAATAATAACATCATGATGGAGAAACATTCGAATAGCTGAATAAATGAAAATAGAAGCAAAAAAAACACACATACATGTACATGTATTTATCCACACGAAGCTCAATTCTGTTACATCAATAGATATTTTTACTCTTTTTATTACCTTATTCAGGAAAATTATCATCTGTAAACCGATAACCATGATAACCATTTGAATCGTGTTGGTTTTGAGGTGGAAAGAGTAAAGTTTTACATTCACATAATAGTAAAACTATCATCAGTTTTATTTGCTTACTCTTTTTATCACTTTCATTTTTTGAAATTTTTGTTTCTATGACTGAACTTATTTACCAATCGAATCATAAAAAAGCTTCATGAATAATTTATTTCTAAGTTATAGCATTTCAATTGGACACTGGATTAACCATAACCGATTTTATCTGATGAACTTTTGAATTTTTGATTCAATTCCAAGATGATGATCGACTGTTGAACTACAGATAAGATGAGAATGCTTTCTAAAAGTATTAATATCATGGTTTCTACGATTTTGATTGATTGATATTCAATTTTGAGTTTACAAGGATTTCATCAAATTGTGACACAAACTATTGACTAAACGATGAGATGAGTAAATTAAACTCAAGGGTCAAGAGTGGTCAGTCTCTTGAAATGGAAGAGCAAAAAAAGAGAAAGAAAAAAAAACTTTTCCTCATAGTGACAGTTAAGTAAACAGAAATTAATTCAATTAATTTATCTCATATATTAAGTACTTGATCAAGATTAAAGTTATTATCCAAACATGAATCAAGAAATGATATTGATCAAATTAGTTATCAATTCTGATGATCATATATATCAAATTTGGTGAACATTATTAAGGGAAATCTATTGAATTCAATGAATATAAGATGATCCATTTTAATCATCCTGTCATCCTGTTCAATCAAAATGAATCCCTTTCTTTTTCAGTACAATCACTCAGAATATAAATGTTATCACCCTGTACTGATGATAACATAGCGAAATGATATCGTATTATTAAATCAAATTTCTCAGAAAAAAAAGTTCAAACTCTCATTAGAAACTGAATTAATATAAATCGTCTCCCAGTTCTGTATATTATATTATCTAAATATGAAACATTAGCATGAAAAATTGTCACATAAATAGTAACAAAGAAAAGGTAACATTTTCTTAGCCGTTGATGATGAGGATGAAAATGTTATCATGATAATTTAATAATATCATCAAATTGTGAAATGATAAATATGCAAATCGGTATAAAAAAAAGTTTATCATCAACTCGTAATCGTTTAATGTTAACGGTAAATGAAACAATCTCCTTTCAATCAACATGGAACTTTTTTTCGCTCATTTTTCCCTTCATGTATTTCATATTTACTGTCAACACAATGATGATGAACATTTATCTTTTCATCTTCCAATGATGTGTAACTCACCCTTCACCTTGATTTTACAGGGTAAACCATGAGATTGATAAATGATTATAAGAAACAAAGAAAGTTGAGAAAAACAATCAATTCTAAAATGAGCTGAATGAGGCAGAAAAATTGAAATGTTGGTAAATATTTTTATTCTCGGAATTATTATATCAATATGAATATCATTTTGATGATAATCGTCTCAGCTGAATACTAAATTTCTGATACATTTTTCATCTTCATCATCTAAATGTAATATAACACTGAAAGTTTTTTTTTCCTTCTATCAACCGTATAAGTAAAATTATTTTTTTCTGTCTATGGAATCGATAGGTGAGGGTGGAAAATAGGATAAGAATGGCATTGTCTCGGAAGAAAAATGGAATGTGAAAGAAAAGTGAGTGAGAATAGTAAATAAAGGATGATCGAAGATGAAGAGAGAGAGAGAGAGAGAGAGATGAATTAAGCGATTCCGTTTCATTTACGTTGAAGAAATTCTTGTTGGTTGTCTGGGTGGCATTTGAGAATTGAATTGACACCAATGTTATTGAAGAAGTCGAAGTGGAGAAAAGTGAGAAAAACGAAAGAGAAATGACATTATTAATAGAAAAATATTCTGAAGATAATAGCATATGATTCAAGTTCAGATTCTTTTATAACTTCTCTCTCTTTCTGTTACAACAATGAGAATTCAATTCATCTCTATTTTTTACCAACTTCAAATTCAATTCAATTCTTATCCTTCGTTTCATCACCTTACCAATTTTCATCCCAGTCCACTAAATAGATATCGTGTGTACACGATCACTCAACTTCTCAAATTTCATGATAAAATCCAAATGAAATGAACCAGAATAATTATTTTCATATCATTGCGAAAATCTCATAACACTAAAATTCAATCAATGTCATGATAAGCAAGAGAGAGAGAGAGAGAGAATAAGTTACGATTTCGACTTGGCCAATTCTTAATTTCTTAATAATCTAAATGTCTGACTTTTATCAGAATTCTCATGAAATTATCACATTTTAGTCAGTAAATGATTTGAATTTGAAAGGGAAACTTTTAATCAATTGATTTATGCTATTATCACAATTCACCAACTTAATGTGATTCACTTTGTTTTGTTGGTCATAATAATCAAAACTTTTACTTCAATTCAGTTCAGAACATTTTTTTTTATATGATTCGAATACAATTTTTTATTGTATTTGTAACAACAATAATTCAGTTCCCATGGTGTAAAGATTTTTATTTATTTATTTATCATGATGATTCCATTAAATCAAGGTCAATTTACTCCATGATATACAGTTGAAAGTTACATAGAAAAAGATATAAAAAAAGTTCTGATTTTTTCCAGAATTCATCGTGATGAGATTATAAAACTTGCGATTGTAAAAGAATGATAAATCATCATCATCATCATTGTCTGGAAAATTTTCTTTATTCAGCAATAATCATATAAAAGGTAACAATTAAACGTGAACAGACTAATCACCATGATAATCAATAGTTAAATCATAATCTATCGGCATCACCATGATGCCCACTCATTGACCTCTAGATGATATTTATATCATCTAAATGGTTGATGGTGATTTCTGTTGATGGGATGAGAAAATCTAAAATGAGTCAAGATTAAATTGATAACATTATTTATCATTCTGATCTCATTCAGATGAAATCAGAATTCATATGAATCTTTATATTTATTCACAGATATGATTTCATGATGATTTGATCATCAAGAAGTTCAATAAATGATGATGATCACCGTTATGGGACATCATCATCCTCTGAATTTATATGTTACTAACAATGGATTCTAATGAATTCTGATTCTCCAGGTATTTTGAGTAACTTTTCTGAATAATATTCTAAAAAAACTTTTTGCCATGATAATCAGTTAATTTGAATTTCTCTCTCTCTCTCTCTGCTTTTTTTCCTCCACTTTAATAGACACCATTGGTAACAATTTAGCTCAATTTCATTGTGATTTAATTTTCATGGTAATTTGTTATCATACGTTTATTTTGATCATAAAATTGATACAATCAATTTAGTAGAAACATTTTCATCTTCATTATCATCATGAAAAAGATCCTATTATCTAAAAGAAATAAAGTGAAAAAGAAAGAGAAAGATGAGAAAATGTTACCAAAATTGTAATATCCATCACAGAATATTCAGTTAGCTATATTATCTTTTACATGGAACTTTGTTTTTTCTTCTTTATCTTCTTCTCCTTGTTTCTAACTATTGTCATTCTTTTCATTACTTTTCTGTATGACAATGAGAAGATGTGACCAAGACACCAGAGTAATCAAGTTATCATCACAATCGACTGATAAAAATGATGATCAAAATAACAGAGAGAGAGAGAGAGAGAGAGAGAGAGAGAGAGAGAGAGAGAGAGAGAGAGAGAAATATGGATAAAACAATTCACAGAACACAGTAAGGGAATAAGAGGTAATGATGATAAAAGAAAGAGAGAGAGGAAGAGGAAGAAGGAAGAAGACGGAAGATAATGATGGAAATTGGTTCAAACAGGGAAACCGTTTAATGTAATTTCAGGGTTACCCAGAAATGTTCATATTCACATGAATGGCATTCATCATGTTGATAATTGTCTCATGTTGTTGTTGAACTTAAGTTAACCAAATGAACTATTTTTTTTCCACTTTTTTGATTGAATTTATATCTCGAGGAAAAGAAGACGAAACTCGGAATTCTGTTTATCATGAAACATTCTGTTTACCAACTGGAAATTGAGTTTTTTTTGTTGTTGTTCTCATTTTCTATTAAATTAAACTACAAAGTAGTTAAAAAAAATAGTTTCTCATTGTAACCATAAGCTCATAATCAAAGATGAGCTTTAGAACTTTTTTTTCTCTCGTTGTTCTATCTACTGAAAAAAAAGAAGAAGAAAAAAGAAATTTCCTCTTCTCAACTCCCTGTATGGTGGAAAAGGATAACACCGAGTTACGAGGTGGGTTTGGTAATGGAAACAAGAACAGATTTCGATCACACTTCTGATCAATCATTTTAGTCAATCAGAAATGACATAAAGATATGAGATAAAATAGAGACAGAGGTTTAATGATTATCATCATCATCATGGCGATAAATTGATAACTGATGAATTTACAGAGTTTGATGGAGAAAAAAAATTTCTCAAATTTTCTGAAGAAACATTTTCTCTCAAATATTGGTAACCATGGTTATCGTTTTCTTATGAATGATAATAATGAGAATCGAGGAAAAAAAAATAGTAAATTGATAAACAGAATTGAAGATTATGATGATTATGATGATGATGATGATGATCCAGGGAGGGAACTAGTAAAGATTTCGTATTGACTTGTTGATACTTTGTAACAAGTTGACATGCTCCATATTCCCGTTATATTATCTATCAGTTTCAATTGAGTTTCATTCAGTTCAGTTGGAGATAAATTTCAATTCAGTTTGTATTCCTAATATTTATCATAAAGATCAAGATATCAAGTTAATTCATTTCCAAAGGATTTACTTTTGATATTCACTTGAAACCTTCAAAATTTTACCTTCATCATCATTATAATAGCTTTAAATAATTAATCAATTCAAGTTCATTAATTAACTTTCATATTTACAAGTTTCAAGTGATTAACTATCTGCAAAAATATTCACCTTTCTCAATATACTGTTGTTCAGTTTTCAGCTTTATAATTAATTGTGTTGACAATTTAAAAACTCTGATGATAATTTTCACAATCAACCAAATGGATTAGTGATTCATTATAAATTCATTTATAAAATTGATTTGATTTTAATTAAGTCAAGTAACTTGATTAATTAACTGTTCATTTGTTGAGATTAACTTGAAATATTATATTCACAGTTGCAACTAATCCAGAGGAAAAATATTGAAATGAATTTGATTCAACAATTTGGCTAATTGTTTACATCGTACAAGTTTTAATTGATTAACTGTGTGTATGTGTGAATAAAATTAAATGAAATTAACATTCGATAATCATGATTATCTTTCATGAGGCAACAATTTTCCATTAAATTCTCAACTGAATTAAGTTGAGTAATTCAATTAGATTCTCATGAGAAAAGTATGAATTTATTTTCCAACAGAAAAGTCAAACTTTAAAATGATTTTCATCTCATCATCAACATTGACACATTACAATTAATCCGAGGAAATAAACAAACTTTCAATTAAATTGATTCTCAAAGTGATTAACATAATATGGTTTTCTATTTTCTGATTGATTTCAGTTCATTAATCAGTGTTTAATCATGATCATCATCATCTCCATGTAAAAATGCAAGTTGATCAATATGAAACTTGAAACAGTTGAGAGTCTGTTCAAGACATTCAAGTGACTAAATTAAGTTTAAATCAAATCCAATTTCTTGATTCTAATCAATAGCATAGCAAAACAACAGGGAGTGATCATTATCATCATCATTGTGTCACTTTAATGTGATCAGTTTTAATTAACATCTCAAAGATAAATTTAGACACCAGAATAATTAAATCATATTGTTAATGTTTCCCAAATACAGCAACAATTAAAATGGATAATGAGATAAAGTGATAATCATCATCATCATCTTCCTCGCTTTCATGGCATCTCTTTCAAGTGAATCCTCATTTAAAACAATTAACGAGACAATATATAACAATCATCATCTAATTAAATCTAATTATTTTCACATTTCCAATGACAATTACATGATATCAAGTGAATCTCATACACTTATCGATGGATTATCAAATGACCAGAGTACCTATGAGAGTTACGTAAATAGTAATGGTTTCAATGAATCGGACATTGATTCTGATCTTAATGTTTTCTACCATCGACCAGAGGAAATGCTCCTTCCATGGGTTCATAATAGTTTCTTTTACCCGACCATGGTCACTTACATATTGACCTTTATCTTTGGTGTTTCTGGAAACAGTGTTGTCATTTGGTTTATGCTTGGTGACAAAACCAATCGAAGGTAAATTTTCACTCAAAACAATCAGACCAATGGTCAGTTGATGGTTTTATATTTTTTTGTTTCTCGTCATTTCTTTTAACAGTGTAACAAGTGTCTTCCTGGTCAGTTTGGCAATTTCTGACCTCTTATTACTGACCATTGTAGCACCTCTTGATATAGCCCATTATTTTGTCGTTCAATGGGACGTTAACGGGAAAGTTTGTAAAATGGCCGCTTTCGCTGAATCGGTCTCAGCATTTGCCTCGATACTCAATTTGGTTGCTGTTACATTTGAAAGGTAAGAATAATAAAATGCAAAAGTCAATCGAATCTAAAAATATTGATACAACTTTTTTTATTTCCATTTTTATTTACTTTTATTATGTATCGAAATAAATAGATTCATAGTGATCGTTTTTCCTCTTCGTTCTCGCTCGTTATGTACAATGGAAAATTGTAAAAATTTTGTTATCCTTGTTTGGGCTTTGTCTATGTTTCTAGCATTGCCAACGATTAACATTAAGGTAAGTTTCCTATCCACAGGTAAACTATTATTATCAGGATTTAATGAGAGTAGTAACTCATTACAATCAACATGATGTATATAACAATTTAATTACGATTGATTTCCTTTCTCTCTCTCTCTCTTTGTCTTTTATTCCTTGTTGTTAATCATAATTAATTCAGGAAATTAAAACATCAACCTTTTATAATCATCAAAATACAACAATTACTTTGTACGATTGTAAAGAATCTCGAGATACAATGGGTCTTTACCTTACTATTTATAGATTTATCTTCCTCTTTGCTCTTCCCTCTATCTTCATGATCGTATTGTATACATGGGTCATCACTGAACTTTGGATATCAACACGAACTATGGACGAATTAACAAATAACTCGTAAGAATTTTTGATAAAAATGTTCTCGCAACCTCACCTCTCTCTCTCTCTCTCTCTCTCTCTACTAGGAGAGTTCATCGCTCTGAGTCTCGAGCAAGTATTAGTAGAGATACTTGCTCATCTCCGACTAATCATACGGTAATCCTGAGAAGTCATTATCCAGGTCAAGAGACACGAGACGTTAAATCGGCAAGAAAACAGGTAAATGTCGAAAAGGGAAGATATTTATTTGTTTTTTGTTCAAAGTTGACAAAAAGTTCTAATGAAATTTTCATTTTGTTTTTAAAATTGTTTTCGTTGAATAGGTAATCAAAATGCTTATTCTGGTGGTGATTCTTTTCTTAACCTGTTGGGGACCTCGACTTATCGGTGAAATTATGCTCATTTGTGGTATGAATTTCGCGTTCAATTATACAACTTACGTGATTCGAATTGTCTTTTTCCTCCTTCCGTTTATTCATTCGTGTTTAAATCCAATTGTTTACTGTTTAATGTCATCCAAATTTCGTAAGAAAATCATTGATTCAATTGACCAATGGTTCCATCAGGACAGAGTCTCAGCAGTTGATCTTTCCTCTCGAATTGAAAACTCTAATAATGGACATTTAACCTCGATTTATACAATACACAATTCGTTTGAAACTGTTGCCCAATAATGTTTCTTTCATTGAACCAAAAATTCAACATGTATATTATTGTAACTCTCATAATAATAAACAACCCTTTCAACCTCAATCTAATACCGAAATCTTTTTTCCCACTCAAATAATATAAAAACGTTCACAACAATCAACAAACTAAACCTACTAACAATTTATTAGTTCAATTTTCATTTCGATTTGAAAAACTCGAAAAGTAGTTTCAATAAGAACCAATAGATGGCGACTCCTGTCAGAAAATTTATGAATCTTTTGCTTTTCTGTCACTAGATGGCGGTAGTAGCTCCATTTTATTTTGGTATTTTTGAAAATTTGAATTGGCTTTTAATTGTTTTCAACCAATTTGACCTCTTGGTCAAGTTAATCAGTAGTTAAATTTCATTTAGATTGGATTATGATTCGATGGTGTGGAGGTTTGCATCTCTCATCGAGTAAAACACTCGATTGGCTGGAGATTCAAATGGAAGCTCTGAAATCGTAGGTTTCGTTTTCACCGTTCAACTTGTTGGAATTGGAGTTCCAAGTTTCGAGTTTGTTTCTTTAAATTACCTTTGAGAAAGAAGATTGTTCGGTTTAATGAAAGTTCATTTTGTATGGATTTGATTTTTAAGAGTTAATTTGGTTTAGTTTTGAAGGAAAACTTTTCATGTAAGAAAAAGTGGATTCAATAATTTCTCTGAAACGAAAGAAAATTTCATGATGCTGATAATGATGATTGAAGATGAGAAAATGAAGATATTATTGTCAAAATTGTCAGGATAATTTTCTCATCAAGTTAATATCATTTGTCTCATATATATAATAGTTATTATTATCTTTCACTCTCATGATATTTATACAGAAGCTGAAAAGTAGATGAGGAAAAAAAAATTAGAAACTATTTAAACATGATTAACTTTTACACCACTGTGTCAATTTAAATTGCTCAAGGATTAAAGAGGATTGTTAAAGATGATGATAAAGATGATTAAAAGAAAGAGAGTAAGTTAGAAATGTGATTTCGAAAGCTGAAAATGTACAAGAAACAAAAACAAAGGCTCGAACTTTTTTCAACGAGCCAAGATAGTTGATAGAATGTAAATTGGTTCAATCAATCATCCATTTAACTGTTAGAATAAGAAACGTTTTAAACATCTTCATCTTCATCTTAAATTATTACCGTTATTATTACGAAAGAGATGAGAGAGAGAGAGAGAGAGAGAGAGAGAGAGAGAAAGTTATTCAAGCTCATTAACAGTTAACGATAAGATAATAGGAGATGAAGATGAAGTATTAAAAAAAGGAAAGGGAAAAGATGGAGAGTCAGCAAGATCCAATTGAGGAGATGATGGGCAAAGATGATGAAGATGAAGATGAAGATGTGTCAATGATGATGAGAACTTTTTCTTTTCTCTTCCTCATCTTCCTAATCTTCTTCTTGCTTTTGTAGTTGAATGTTTTCCCTTTTTCTTAAATGAAAGGATTCATCTCATATGATTGGAAAATCTTATGCCAACAATTTAAAACTTGATAATAAGATAATTGATAAATTAACTTGAACAATTATCTTTCTTACTGGTGATTATAAATGAAGTTGTATCACAATTTGTTAATTGTTGATGATTAACGAAGTGTTTGGTTTATTTTTTTCTTTCTTTCTTTTTCTTCATCATTTCTCATTTCATGTATTACTAATGTGATCTGATTAATTGTTACTGAATTGTTGATCATTCAATTTGCTGATTAAATGTTTATTTAAACTTTTTCATTCTTTGGTTAAATTTTACTGATTTTCATACACTATTTAACTTATTAATTTGTTGGCAATTTAAATTGTTCTGACAGAATCAAAGTTTCAATTTTTTTGTTTCTTTTCACCATGAAAAACAAATGTCAATGAAGCAAAATCATCAACAATTAATTGTTACTGTTAAGATAAACACAAACAATTTAAATTTTTCAATGATAATAATGAATAATCAAGAGCAGAAAAGGTTAACACAATAGTTGATTGTTAACAATCAAATTCATTTGAAAAGTAAATCACTTTCTCCGAAAAGTTCAAATTTTTTAATAAACAATCAACTCTAATAATAATCAACCCAATTGAATCAATTTCCTGGTTTGAAAATACAAACTAATTACAATACAACTAAACAAATGGACTAATAATCAATGGCTGATAATCAGCTGATCAAATATGAAGATGATGATGATAATAATTAGATAAGTTCTAATGAAAACAAGTTCGAGGCTCGAAAACATTTTGATAACCTTTAAGGTCAAAGATTGAGTATAAAGGTAACTTGATATTATCTTTTATTAATTTGTATTCCAATTAATGGGAATGCTTATCGATTATAATTTATTAGGATAATCAATTTTTACAATTAAATTTTATTATAACAATTTAGTGTGAAAATGAACAAAAAAGATAAACATAAATAATTGACAAAATTGAGATTAACCATCATGATGTTCAGGTTTCAATCTCAACATGAACATGAATATAAAACATTAAAAGGTAATCATAAAAATCACATTTACCAAAATCTAATCAAATTAAGATTATCATTATTAGTATTATTATTATCATAGCCTTGATTGTTTCAACTTTAATTACTCTGTTTCCAAATTAGATTAAGTCTAATCTTTAGTTTTATATATGATATATATTATCTAGATTATGATGATATACATTAAATTGTTTTCCAAGTGTAATCATAAAAATTGTAATATTGTTATTACTTATTATCTATTATCATGATTATAATCAATGATTAGATTGTATCTTAAATTGTTTCCCATTTAATATACTATCATTATGATCATGTAGTTGATTATATTATCTGGAACATTTTGATTGTATCTAAAATCAATTGATAATCAACCTGAATTTGGATCATTAAATTAGAGGATGATTGTTGTTACTCTTGTTGAAGATAAATATTATTACATAAACAATCAAGTTAATTGTATCAAATTTCAGATTAATTATATTTAATGATAATTATTATAAAGAGAGAGAGAGAGATGACAAACTTAATTGTGATTGAATTTCATTAAAAGAGTTGATCATTTTTCAAAAGACGAGGATGTAAAGAGGAAAAGGAAATGAGAGGAAAACTTAATTGTCCACCTATTGGTATGAATGTCTAAAGATGATTGATGACCTCTAAAGGGGTCAAAGGTAAGAGTTGAACTTGGAGGAATATCTAAATTTAGGTTAATCTTTTTTGCTCGTGTTTAATTCAGTAGATTAATTTTCAATTGTGATAAATTGATTTGAGCGCAAGTTGAACTAATTAAGAGTTAAAATGGGAAATAGAAAGTTAATTATCTTAAATCAGGCGAAAATATTAGACGAATCATAATTAGATATTTAACTGATGATAACAATTAACTTAATTGTCGTTTAGTTTCAGGAATTTACACTTAATAATAGTAATTTTTGCTTCTAATAGGAAACTCAGGGTTAGACTATTAATCTTAAACACCAACAATTTAAGCGTACACATAATCAACCTGATCATCCATTTCTCTACTAAATCAGTAATGATTATAAATTGTGAATATTATTGTTAACTGTCAAGATGAAGATTCGAGAAAAGTTTTCACCATGAAACCTCCGATTCCATGAGAATATTAAGAAAAAAAATAAGTACCAACAACAACTGAATTTAAGCCAATATTAACACAGTTTATTTTTTTACTTAGCTAATAACACAGTACATGATAATTTGTCAACCCTAAAGAAGAGAAAAGAAAGAGAGAGAGAGAGAGAGATGATGATGAGGATGATGATGATGAGAATGGTGATGATGATAGTGTATAAATTATATTCCCATGTTATGATAACCATAAATCCTCGTGTTGAGTTTGTTATGATTGTGTTGGTGTTTTTGGTGATGAAGATGATGGAGATGATAAAACAAATGCGAATTCAAGTTAAGGAATTGAACAAGTAAGAAAGGTGAAAAGAGGAAGACAAGACGAGGAAGATAAAGAAGATAAGAAAGACTTAAATAGAGAGAGAGAGAGAGAGAGAAACATTTAAATGATATAAGGTAAAAGCAACATAAATTGATTAGTTGATTGATTGATGTTACATTGATTTCTGTTTAAATTGTTGTTGTAGTTTTTTTATTAATATTACATATTGATGATGATGATGAAGATGAAGATGATGAGGATGAGGATGAAGATGATGAGCATTAGAAAGAGAAACAAGAGGATTTATCCAATATTGATAATAAGGAAGCTGAAGATTAGATTACGATGAAGATAGAGATAATGGAAGATGAAGTTTTTGTGTTTTCTTTTTGATGGTCTCATTTTTTTTAATTGTTGGTGTTTCCTTTTTGATAATTAAAACTTTTCCTTAATTTAGATAACGCATATTTTAGTTAATTACAAGTGCTTAGCTAATATAATATCAGTTTTATTGGGTGTGTCAATGGTGGATTAATGAGCGTGACAGTGAATACCTAAATCCATAGATGAGAGATTGTTGTAATATCGTTAACGAAGTAAAAGTTTCGCCAAAGTTTTGCTTTTCGAAGGAAAATTTATCTCAAAATTTCGAGTTGAATCAAATTGAACTTGTGGTGAATTGAATTAATTGCACATTTGATTTGAATAAAATACCAGGATCAAGAGATTTATCAAGCAGGCTCGAAGAGAAATCGAGAAGAAACTCCTCGAACGGGTATCAGGTCAGGATTTAAAAGCGAAATGAAGAGAGGGAGAGACAAATAGATTAACAGAAATTTGAGCATTAAAGGGTAATTGATGATCTCCCTGTCGAATTCAATCTCGAAACTTGGGTAGAAAAAATTTCTTTCCGATGGATCGGCAAATCTTCAACCTTTACCATCTAATTATTTGTCGGAAGATCAGGTCACTTCTTATTTTTTAGCACGTTAATGTCTATTTTCGATGCTGGAAAGTCCACAGAAGAGAAAAGAAAAAAAAGAAAAGTTTTTTTTTCCATCTCCATTTATATATATTGATAATACTTTTCGTAGTTAATTGTTGATTGTTTATTTGCATTTATGATGATGACGATAATGCGGAAGTGGAAATTGAGTTTGTTTGTTTACGTTGTGAGTGTTTAATTTTATAAGAGTGACTATGTTTTCTTGTGTCTCCAAGAGGTTTCATCTTTATCATCATTGTGAGATCAGGAATGGATAGTAAGGTGTTGAAGGTGCGAGATTAGGTAGATCAATGGACATCCTTCGACCCCGACGGGATGAACTGTTATTCCAAACATGAGTTCCCATGTGAACTTTAAGATTACCCTTAGTGGTAAAGGGTCGACTACAAATTTGACATTTAAAGGGCTTATCACCGGTGTGGGTTCGATGGTGGATTTGTAATGCACTGTGACTTGAAAAGGGTTTATTGCATTTCTCACAAACATGTTTAGTGCTATTTAATGAAGATCGAGATGAAGATGAGGTTGATGATGAATTTGTTTTGGCTTCACCACCTTCACCATTCGGTGTGGCCACCGAGGATGATGAATGTCGATTATGATGATGATGATGAGAATGATTTGAATGGTGAGGTTGATTGTGATGATGAGAATGATGAGAATGATGGTGATTATGATGATGATTATTATTATGATGATGAGGATGATGTTGATGATGAGGCAACGCGGAGCTATGAGATGAGCTTGTTGATGATGATGATGATGCTAATCTATCATGATTTTTGTTTCCATTATTATCACCACCGGTTAATTCACCTTCTTCACCAATATCTTCCCCTCCATCATCAATGTCATCCTCTTCATTATCACCTCTTTCACTGGCTTCTTCTCCATCATCATCTTCCAATCCTTCATCACCCCCACCACCCTCGGTGTTACCACTACTGTGAATATCGTTTCCACCGTCAATGAAACTCGTATCACCATGACCCGTAGTTGAATGAGCTGGACCAGAGGAGGTGGACATGTAGGTGGTACTTGCATTTGATTCATCTTTACCCTCTTCACAATTAACTAAATTAAAACGGGAAAAACAAATCACAACAATTAGTCAATCACAATTGATATTTAAAAGTTTGTCTAATCCATTTTATCAAATCATTTTTTTGTTGCTAATCAAACTTTCACTTTAATAAAATTGTCCATTTGAAAGTTTTGTCAAACTTTTTTAACCAAAACTTTTACTATTGATTTAATCTCTCTATTGGTGTTGGTATAACAATTAGTTAATTGTTGACTTGATAAAATGGTTATTAGTTAGAAAAGAAGATGAAAAAAAAGACTAACCTATTAGTCTAATTAGATTTGTTTTTTTCTATACTTACTTGAATTACTATTTTGATTGCAACTATTTCCGGTCAAGGAATTTGAATGTTGGGATGTGTTGAATGATGCAAGTGATGAAGTGTAAAGCCCTGGGGGTAGATCACGACATTTATGTGTCATCATGTGTTGTTTCATGTTACCTTTAGTTGAGAATCCCCTTGAACATATTGAACATTTAAAGGGTCGCTCTTTGGTGTGAGATCGATAATGAATCTCAAGGGCTGAGTTACAGGCGAAAGTTTTGAAACAAATTTGACAAGTTGTATTGGGACGACCGGTGGGGAATTGCAGGCCAGCAAATGGTGAGTTAAATAATCTTGAAGCTGCTATTCCACCCGCCGTTGCAAGAGCGGCAGCAGCAGCCGCAACTGGAGCTCCATTTGAGCCAGATTTAGATGAGCCCGCTCCAGGTGAGAGTGGTGATTTAGCTGCTAAAGCTTGAGCTGCTGCTGTGGCTACAGCGGCAACTGCAGCAGCGGCAGCGGAAGATGAGGAAGCACCTAAAGGAAGGGAGTTTGGTGTTGATGAATTTAAATTTCGTTGGTGTTGTAAATGGTGAAGTCCTAAAGCTAGTGGATGTGAGGGTGATATTGATGAGGGGGAGGGTGATGGTGTCCGAGCTGAGGAAAGTGAAGGTGATGATCGAGGTGAATCTGGCCTTCGACTGCTTCCACCTCTCTCCGAACCATTTCTAGGAGTTAAATCTAAAGCACCGCTGGTTGATGATGCAGAGGGAGGATTAGGCATTAATGCCTCTTCCATTGGGCAAGGTGTTGACCCACGATCGGCACCATTGTCTTCAAGGGTTGATGAAGATCCCGAATTTGAAACTGTTGTTGTATTTGGAGGGGTCACATTGTGACGAGAAGGTGAAGATCGGTGAGATGATGAGCGTAAATTATGATGATGAGAGTGCTGATTATAATTTGAAAGTGCTAAAGGTGAAGGTGCAAGTGATGATGATGGTGATACTGAACGAATGGATGATGAAGATGACGGAGATGATCGAGGTGATCGTGGTGATCGAGGCGAGGAAGAAGACAATGTTGGTAAACGTAATCCTAACGCATTAACTGGATTCATACCGAAAGCAGCAGCAGCGGCCGCCGCAGCAGCCGCAGCAGCAGCCGCTGAGACACCAGATGATGACGATGAACCATTTCGTGGGGTCAAGTCAAGAGCACCACCAACGGCGGAAGATGAGTTTGCCAATGATAGAATCATATCTTTCATTGGTAAATAATGATTACCCGTTACTCCGGAAGCAGCAGCCGCCGCTGCTGCCGCTGCCGCTGCTGCTGCAGCGGGAGACATTAAAGGTGAACGATGATGATGAGAATGATGATGATGAAAAGAAGGAGGTAACACCGGAGAACCACCATCAACCCCACCACCACCACCTCCCCCTGGACCTTCACCACCGGAAACTCGGGAAGATCCACTTCGATTAACTTCAGAGGCAAGTAAATGAACGGGATGTAAACGAATGTGCTGTTGTAGTACCAATGCATTAGTGAACTGTTTGTGACACACTGGACATTGATGAAGCACTCGAAGCGGAGGTTTAACCCGATGAACTCCCATGTGGGTCTTAAGGTTACCCTTGGTGGTGAAAGCGCGATCACAAATTTTACACTTGAAGGGTCGCTCACCAGTGTGGGTCCGATAGTGCATTTGAAGAGCCGATTTACAGGAAAGTACTCGGTGACAGATTACACATTCATTTGGATCACTTAATTTATGTTCAATGTTATCAACTAATTGTTGTAATTTATGAGTTTCAGATGCTTTTTGTATCTCCATTAAACTTTCCCATGAGTTATCAGCACTTCCAGGTTTGGGTAATAAATCTTGATAAAAGTTTGGATCCGGTGCAGCGGCTCCTGGTGTATCTGTTGGTGCTAAACTGCCACTTGGTGTTGTCGAGAGCGGCGGAGGTGTTGACGGAGAGGCCGACCCAGCGGTGGTAATTGTTGAAGTGTTGTTATTATTATTGTTGGGTGTAGTGGTTGTGGTGGTTGTTGTTGTTGACAGCGAAAGACCTGAAGGTGTTGTAATTGTTGAATGATTTGATGTTGATGAATTTAAATCGGGTGTTGATGTTTTGGGTGGTTGATTGGAGGAGGAATGGTGATGATGATCATCATTATTATCATCATCATCTTCTTCATTATCATTATCTTCATCATCATCGGTAACTATTGGCTGTGGTGGAGGTGGTGTTGAGGTATTATTATTGGAGGTTGAGCCAACTGATGCTCGAGATGATAAAATTGTGTCATTGTTGTTGATGTTGTTGTTGTTGTTGTTGTTGTTGGTAGTGATGTTGGCTAGGGTGGTTGTCGTTGTGTTGTTGAGGTGAAGTCCAGCAACGGTTAGATTTGCCGTTGTCGGGGTAAAGGGTCCGAATGGTGTAAGACCAAGGGTGGAGAACATGCCCCCAGGGAAGAAGGATGCAAAACTTGGAGGTAGAAAAGGGTTTGAAGGTGGGGTCGCTGTCGAACCGGTTGATGAGGTTGTCGGTAGTTTAGAGGTTGTTGGTGTTGATGCGGTTGCAGAAGGGTTTAGTAAACCACTGAATGATAATCGATGAAGTGGTTGTAAGGGATGATGATGATTATTATTGTTGTTGTTGCTATGGTTATTGTGATGATGAGGATCAGATGATTCATCATCAGATGAGAATGGATCTAAGTTCATTTTACTCAGATGATTACCACCATTGGTTGATGAGCACATTGATTCATCTTCCTCTGCAAATTCATCACCCACTTTACTATTATTATTGCCATGAGATTGACCATTGTTAGCACCATGATGAGAGGTTCCATCATTGGTTTTCTCATCTTCTCCCTCGGAATCACCATGGGAAAGTCTAAGGTATTTATCGGTGTGTCTTTCAGCGTGAACTTTAAGATTACCCTTGGTGGAGAAACGGTTACCACAAACTTTACATTTGAAAGGTTTTTCTCCGGTATGTGAACGAATGTGTATCTGTAGGGCTGAATCGGAGCCGAAAGCTTTACCACAGAATCGACAACGATGCCGATAATTGGAATCACTTTCTTTACCATCTTTACGAAATTTGAGAAAATCGGCTCCCTCCAGGTCACTTAGACCGTTCATTAGAAATGAACTTCCCTGCATAGTGTTTTGAAGAGCCTGTTCGGTGGTTCGTTGTAGTAGCTCCAAAGTGTTTGGTCCACTTGGTGAGGGTGGAGGTGGAATGTCACTTGGACCCAGAGGAATAGTTTTACTAATTTTATCATTTGAATTCTCATCTAAACCATTGCCAATGGAGGAAGATGCAACTGTCAACTGATCCAAGGGTGAATCTGACACTGAATAAACAGAAGAAAAATAAAATTTGATTTTCATTATAATGACCAAATTAACGAAATATTGACAGAGAAAAAAAATATTCTATTGTAATTTAAATTGAATCATATTTCATTAATTTCGTTTTTTTGACAATTCGGACAAAAGATATATAATCATGATCATTTATCATCCATCATCAAAGTTGTAATATTGATTTTGTAACTAATGATGATGATAATTGGCACCTTCAGATATGTAGGCGTTGAGTTACCTGTGAGTATTGATCATCATTAACCTGAAGATGATGATGATGATAATCTCAATAGTTATTGACTGAAAAACTCATCAAATGACAAATTTTCGTGGGAATAGCGATGAAAATGATAGAGAAAAAGAGGAAGACAGAGAGAGAGAGAGAGAGAGAGAGTAATTTTTTCATCTTCTCTTCTAATTCATGACAAGAAAAAATTGTATCCATAGAGTTCCAATGACCAGCAACAATCATCTTCATCTTCATCATCAACCATATGCCGATAAAAGATCAAAGATAATTAGTGTCATCACCTCCTCATCATCCTTACTCCTCCTACTCGCATCATCACCAAGAGGAAGTGACAATTTTTTTTCTTCTTTTTCGAAAAAGAGAAAACCATAAATTCCGTTTTTCTAACTCTCTCAAAGTCCTTCAATTAATTAAACAATTGACACAGATAAAACATCATCAAGATGAAGATAAATCCAACATGTCCAATGGACAAATAGACAGAAGAAAAAAAAACAATACCTTGCCACCCGTAGTTCCTATGTAATTTCATCAAATTGAACAACCAAGGAAGATGAAGATAAAGATGATGACAAGAAGAGAGAGAGAGAGAGCAACAACAACAACAAAATTAAAGGTAACTTTTTACCTTGGAACGAATAATGAAAATGAAAAAAAAAATTCTTTTCTAAGTGTAACCAATATTGTACTTTTTTCCGGTTTACTGGATACTTATGATCTATGGATTGACTCGGATCTGAACTTCATTTATCATGTGATAAGAAAAACATTGTTTCTATTGTTATGAAGGTGAAAAAGAAGAAGAAAAAAAATCAAAGTTATTACAGGTAGATAATAATTTCTGTAATCCATTATTAAACTTTATCTTCAGTCTGTTGATTACTATCAATGAGTTTTATCACTGAATCTCAAAGTTTTTGTAATAGTAAAAATGATTTTACTATTACAAAAATTGTAAATAAAACTTTTCCACTACAAACAGAGTCTCAAAGAAAATGATGAAACTAAAATTCATTCTGATTCATTTTCACTGAATCGTTTATCTTTTATATATATATATAAATTATATCATTATTATCATGTAGTTGACTCTCGATTGGTTGAATATTTTCATGAAGATAGTGATGATGATGATTAGGATATTATGTGATTATCATTATTGGGGTGGGTTAATATTTTATCCTTGGTGTTTCATGGTGAATGTTTTGATTCAATTCTGTTGGGAGTGATAACTTTTACTTTCAGATAATAGTAAAAGTTGACGTTTGCAATAATATTTTGAGAGGGTGGAAAATGGCATATGTATGGTGGTGATGGTGGTGGTGGGAAATATTTATCCTATTGAAAATTGTATTACATGGAGTGGACCTTATGAAAGTGGATGATGCTGAGGAAGAGGATGAAGATGAGGATGAGGATGAAGATGGGAAAAGCTTTGAAAATGATGAAACAAAAGTCATATATTTTCATTACTATTGTCACAAAATGATGATAATGATGATGACTATCTTTTTATATCTGAAAAGCATATAAGAACAGAGAGAGATAAGTTTTCTCTTTCTTTTATCATCATCATTTTTATCTATCATCATCATCAGATAATATTATTATCAGAGATGATGATGATGATATAAAATTTTCCTGATTTGTGAGTAACACTTACAATAAAATCATTAACAATCATGTTCAATATCAATCGATTATAAATCAAAACATAGTGAAAAAGATGATAAAACTTATCATCTTCATCATCTGATCAACACCAACATCATCTTGAACCATTTTGCTGTGAATCATTTCAAAAGATAATTTGTAACTTGATGGGTAAAAATAATGATGATAAAAATGTAATAAAATAATGGATCAGATTAGGGATGAAGATAATCAGATGATGAAGATGAAAAGGCTTAAAGATGAAGAAAAAAATCAGAGGACGAGAGAGAGAGAGAGAGAGAGAAAGATGATCTTGATGGTGATGAAGAAATAAATTATATTTAACTCATGTTGACTTATATGGTTTCCAGTGAGAGATGAGGATAAAAGATGATGAAGATAAGAAAGAAAGGAAAAATGATAAGTAAGAGAGCGAGAGAAAGAGAGAGATGAAAGTACAAAGATGACGGTCATCTCATAATGAGAAATAAATTGAATGGATGAAGATAAAGATGATAAGTGATGAAGAGGTTAAAGAGATACCTCGTCCATCATCTTACTTGTCCATCGCTTTTGTCATCTAATATAATAATAGTTAAGATTCCCTTTTGTTGTATATTGGTCAAAGTTTCATCTTTATTTTCACTTTCCCCCCTAAAGTCCAGTTGAAAGATGATGATGACAATAATATAACATATAAAAATGATCATCATCGTAAGTAATACATGATAATCATCATTATCATCATCAAGAATAACAATAATAACAAAAATTGACGGACAATTTGGTTTCAAGGATGAAAATGGACATAGTGACACATACAACTGGGGAAGAAGGAGAGAGAGAGAAAGGAAAAGAGGAGCTGAATCAATCTCTCTTGAGATGTAACATCAAAAGTATCTTCAAAGACTTTATTGACACATAGATATACTCTTGACCATTGACCATTTTCCTTGTTGATATAATTTTTTGCTTTGTTTTGGGTCAGAGAGAGAGAGAGAGAGAGAGAGAGAGAGATAAATGTGTTAATAAGAGGATGAAATGGTGAAGCAGTGGAGGAAGAGGAAGCTTAAATGGTGATGAGAGGATGCTAAGGATGAAATGGATTTTAACAAATTGATATTCATTCATAGACACTGGTAGTTTGATATAAGGGAAATTAGAGGTTAAGAGAGATGATGGAGAGAGAGCCATAGCAAGAAAGAGAGAAGACTAATGAAAGAGATGATAAATAAGAGTTAATAATGATAATGATAAGGAAAATGAGAGAGAGAAAGAGGATTAGGTTAAGTTTAGAGTATCAAGTTGATGGTTTATGTAAAATAAGGTCAAAATGATAGTAAATGAAGTTCAATCTCTCACTGTTTATATTTACTCATTTTTTTTATCAATATCATGATGATGAAGATGAAGAGGAGGATGAAGATGAATGAAAGAGGTATGAGTAAGATTAGTGGGGTAATTTTAATGATCTTCCAGAAAAATAATAGAGCAAATAAATTAAGGGTAAAAGTTTAATACAAAAATGATTATAATTAACTAGTGTCTTCCTCTTTCTCTCTCCATCCTCATCTTTTCTATTTCCTTTTCGCTTCCTCGATGTTTACAGTGCATTTTATTATTCTCTCTCTCTCTCTCTCTCTCTCTCTCTCTCTCTCTATCGATTCCCTTGTTTATCATCACTGAATTATCCTTATCACGTTGATCTTTATTCCTCTAGTTCATTATCATTGTTGCTATTTGTTTCCTCTCTTTCTCTCTTTCTCTTATTCATCATCATTTTATCATTTTCTCCATCATTATTACTAATTCTTATGTTAATATCCTGATTTCAATCTTGATTAATTAAATAGAATCCAAAGAAGACCTTTAGAAAATTATTTCCTTTTCCGGTTTTGCCCTTTCAATTGGTGATCAGTGATGACAAAAGATAAACAAGTGAGAGTAGTAATAACCATCTAATTGAATGATCAAAATGTTACATAATAAAAAGAGATGACAATTAAAATTATTAATCAACTTTGCGAAAATTAAATTTTGATTTTTTGACAAAAAGCGAAACAAAAAATTTGATTAAAATTCATCATTCTGATTATCACCATGATTACAGTTCAATTGACATGATCATAATGAAAAAGTGTCTTCATCATCACTGAAGTTGAAGAAACTTTTTTTTTTAGTTTTGCTTTTTTCTCAAATTTTGAAATTCAATTGAATTGAAATGGAAAAAGTGTAAAAATTAATTCTAAATGATAATTAATCAGAAAACCAATAATATTAATGGAATTGAATGTCGATATAATTTAATTTCTATCTCTGATTCAATTCAGTAATGAGCTTAACAAGGGAGCAGAAAAAAAAAGTTCAATTTGATTCAACTTTTTGCTGAAAGTTATCAAAGTAATAATATCATGATGATGATGATTAGAGTTGGGAAAAAGCAATTAAATGTTATCATGAAAACAAAAGGGTTTCAAATTCAAAGGGAGGAGTTAATTTGCCTGAAAAAACTGAGGAGGAGATAAAATGATGATGATGGAGAGGGTGAAGACCATGATGATGATGATAATGAAGATGAGGATGATTTATTCAATGAATTCTTCAAAGATAGATAGATAGAGAGAGAGAGAGAGAGAGAGAGAGAGAGAAAAACTAGAAAAGCAAGAAAATTGAAAGTAATTTAAATTTAATCGAGTTGCCTGGGAGTTAACCATGGATCGATACTCATGAGGTTTTTTTTCATCATCTTCATGTAGATGATGATGAAGATAAACATGGAAATGAGCTTTATCATCCTTATCATCATCTTTATAAATGGTTAATACATTCATACTATTCAGCTTAAGCCTTTTTTTCATATTTCTCACTGACACCTCCCTTCATCATTTCTGAGCATGATGATGGAAAAGTATGAAAATGATAATGATGATGATGATAAAAGATGATGATAATGATAACCAGGCCTATAAAATGATAATATCAACAGCGCATCGTCAAAAGCATAATCATAATTCAATAACATCAACACAACTTGTAACCTCAATAACAACAACGACGAGAGAGAGAGAGAGAAAATCTCCTCCT